TAGAAGAAGTCCAAAGGAATAACCAAAACAAGCAAAAGGTCGGCAGGAAACGGCAAGCAGATAGGAGAAGAGGGGGGAGAAAAACGAAACAGAAGGAAAAGGAAAAGTCGTTCAGCACAATTAGAGAGGACAGCAGCAGGAGCACAAGGACCTAATGTTGGAGGACCCAATGCTAGAAAGGTTACTCCAAGATAAGACGCCCCCGCTCCCACAGCTGGTGGCCTAAGATGAGATGCCCCACTCCCACAGCTGGTGGCCTAAGATGAGACGCCCCGCTCCTACAGCTGGTGGCCGAAGATGAGATGCCCTGTAACACCGTAAAGGTGTTTTGTTTAGTTTTATTTAATACATACATAGATATACATGAGTCAGAGACAAGGATTTGAGAGGCGCCATTCTGTCGGCCTGGAACTCACACCTCTAAGCGTTAATGACCTCAAGTGACCTGAGGTCAGCTCATGCAAATTTCACCTTGCTTCTGCTAATCTGATAATTGTAGCCTGATGGCGTTCAAACATGCCGACGTTTAAGGAGTGGCTTGGTAGAGAGCCTGAGGCTATCTACTTGTGGGCGGAGTTAGCTACTAGGTTTCCCAATATATACTGAGGGAGCTGGAGGATAGGAGGATAAGCAATAGGAAACCAGCCAGCAGAGCAGAGCAGAGGCCAGCCGCCGAGATAGGCTGTCGGTGGGATGGGGGCTGACGCTGCCTGACAACCGCAGACTCCCCACCCCCCCTCCCCTCTCTATTCAACTTAGACTCAGTGCTTGGTGAGTGAACATTTAGGTGACTTGGTCGTGTTTACAAGTGTTGTGTAAGGATCAGGGGCAGTCAAGTTGTAGGGTTCTTGAATTCTTGGATGATGACTCACTTTGCATATTAATCTTGAACATTAAGTTGAATTGCTTAAATTATGATACTTATCATGTGAAATATAATTGATGAATTTATTGTTTAAATTGTCTTTAACTTTGTTCCCTAGAGTTTTTGAGTTGAGATGAGAAAGCCTCTGCAGTTACTGGTTTCATGATTTTAATGAGCACATGATACAGATGGAACATACTAATAATGACCGATAACATCATTGAGAATATTGTGATACAGACAAGTTCCATTCCTTGTCTTGTAGGTACGGACAAATGAATGGATGGTGGCAGCATTTCTTCTTCTACTATCTACTTCTACCTATCTTCTACTCCCCCTCCACCCCTCTCCAAACTCTCCCTTTCGACTGACGACCCTCCTCGCTCCTCCCACATCTCTCACCCCAAACCCTCACTAATTACTTCATTATTCATCTCTTTTCTTTCATTTCTCTGATACGTTTGTGGCAGTGAAATGTGTTCTAGAGTTCTCTAGAGTTGCGGGTAGCCGATCAAGTTACGGCGCCTTGTAGTCTTAGCACCTAGGTAGTCAAATACCTAGGTTACAAGGTATTGAACGAGAGGCTGCCGTAGGAACTCTGGGGGGTGCTCTAGAATAGTTAGCTAACTGAGGGCGGGATAACGGACTAAAGAGAGCTGTTTCCCCCAGCCTCGTTAGTTAACTGGGGGGTGGAATAATGGACAAGAGAGAGCTATTTCCACTCCCACAGCTGGTGGCCCAAGATGAGACGTCCCGCTCCCACAGCGGGTGGCCCAAGATGAGACGCCCCGCTCCCACAGCTGTTGGCCCAAGATGAGACGCCCTACTCCCACAGCTGGTGGCTGCTTTCCCGATGGTGGTAGACAGTTAAAATTCACTGTCAATTTTAACATAGCGCTACCGATCTCTGCACCTCTCTAGAGGGCACCAGGTTCTGACTTGTGGTCTCCAGTAAACTGAAAGGAACTTCGCGACTGATGACACCTAGTAGTTTAGCTACTATGTATTGGCATTGTAGCTTCAGGGCGCCACAAAGGGCTCCCCCACAGAAAACCAATATACTCTTGATTGTTATCGCCCAAAATCATATACATTTCATTGGTGACCCACAGTGTGTCGACAATACCCAGCATCCTTTTTCTTACATCGCTTACTACAGCCATGGTGCATGAGCCAGTCTTCACTCTGGCTGTGTCTCAATTTGGTACCGGATCTACATGCTCCACAGCGACCCAGGGAATACTAGTTTCATATTTCTGCTTTTCTTTACAAACATTTTTTATCCCTCCGGGAGCGGAAGTACTGTAGCAACTATATTATTTCCATGGGTTTCAGGAATCTTTTAGGACAGCTGAAAGTGATCAGCAAGTTTCCCAGCAGAGTGGTCAACTTCCCAAAAGCATTCTAACACATGGTCAGGTGAAGCATGGAATTTAAGCCACCAAGAACGTAGAATCAGTAGTCTTATTAAAATAGCGGTTCAGTGACAAATGCTCTGGATATATTGCATATCTTCTCCAACACCACTGACAATCAACAACAATGTAACACTCGACAAGTCTAGTTCCAACTCACTCTTAAAACAAAACAGCCTCACCACAGAGCAGACAGGGATCTGACCATACTTGAGCCACCTGCTTTTGCTCCGCATTTGAGCTTTGCGATTTTGCCCACAATTGAGCTTTATTTTCTCACCCTCCTTCGAGCTGTCTCTACCCCCGGCCATGCTCAAGCTCTCTGCTCTTCGCTCCCGACCTCACACAAGCATCCTTGTCTCAGCTACCACTCTGAGACAAGGTAGCTACCATGCTCATTACATTTCCAACACCTGATTACTATAACCAAGACTATATTAAATCAACATATAAAACACTATACTCCTTGAATGTTGTCACCCAAAACTGTACACATTACAAATTCTATAGCAAGTAAATATAGAGGCCATGTATAGACAAAGCCAAGGGCTACATTTTTACTAAAGTGATATTTTAACCCTTAAATAGCACCTGGCTATTTAGCATGTGTCACTCACAGGCGCATACAAAAAAATTTTTGTGTTCACTGACCATGGGAAAAATAATAAAAAAATCGTAAGTGGCATATATTGCCCACTATAGGGCGGGGAAGTCTGGCAAAAAACAGGCGCTGACTCAGCGTGCGTCCCAGGCGGTCTGTTGCTCGCCAACTGTCAGGCCGGAGTTGCCACAAAGAGATAATTACCTAATTATATCAATGTCTCTGATTTTTCGTAGTTTTTTGCTGTAATATTATTCAATAGTGTTTAGTGTGATATATTTATATAATAAAATGAGTGAATCATCGCTGTACTCAAAAACATGGTGTGCATATTGTTGATTCAATTATGTTCATCAAACAGTGAACAAATACTTTGTTGGTTATTACACTATATACACAGGTTATATACAAGTATCTGCATGTTTTGTTCACCATAACGAACCACTAAGTTGCTATTATGAGCAAAAAAGTAACGAGGAGTGACCGCCACACACCAGTCAGCCACTCACTCCCTCCCTCAACACCTCACTCGCCCACATTCTCCTCCCACCATACTGTTTTTGCTTTTATTCTCTATATACAGACGTTATATATAAGTATCTACATTCGTGTTCACCATAACGAACCACTAAGTTGGCATGCTGAGTGGCAGTGCCAGTGGCTGCTACTTCCTCCCTCCCTAAAGTCACCTGACTCACCCACAATACTGTTTTTGCTTTTATTCACTATATACAGACGCTATATATAAGTATCTACATTCGTGTTCACCATATCGAACCACTAAGTTGGTATGGTGAGTGGCAGTGGCAGTGGCAGCCCGCCACTGGCTGCCACTCCCTCCCTCCCCTCACCTGACTTGCCACCATTCTCCTCCTACCATACTGTTTTTGCTTTTATATACAGACTTATATATAAGTATTTACATGTTTTGTTCACCATAACTGTACATCTAAGCTTGTATGGTGAGTAAAGGCACAAAGACGTAGCTACTCACACAGTCAGCTGGTGGCGGCCGCCCTCAAGGCCAAACGCACTAATATTTCTCCTCAAACAATACTGTTTGTGGTGTTATTACGCTATATACACACATTATATATAAGTATCTACCTGTTTTATTCGCCATACTTGTACAAGTAAACTGGTATGGTACCAAAAGACCATAGTGGTCACCAGTAAACAACATGATAATTCGTGCAGACGACGCACCTCCCTCACCAAAATGGCGGCTCCCAACCTATTCCTATTGCTGTTTATACACACTATATACACGTTATATATAAGTATCTACATTTGTGTTCACCATAGCGAACCACTAAGCTGGTATGGTGAGTGCAGTCAATAAAAGGTGGCCATACACAGTCAGAAGATGACGCCACAACCCTCCCTCCCACAGCATTACTCCTCCCTCCATGGCGCACAGCGCCAAATATCACCACAATCCTGCTATTATCAGAACCCTGGTCAGTTTTATCACAGTCAGGGGTCTTCTGTAATAATATCATCTCTTCATAATAGCATGACCAAGTATATTATGGCATTTTTAGGCGATGCTGTGGTCACAAGCTGAACAGCAGTGTTGTGAGCTCATGCTGCGTGCGTCAGGCTTGGTAGCTCACTTAATACTGAGGCCCCTAACACCCGGGAATTTAGCCCACGATTTTATAAAAAATGGCGTCTGTTTACAAGAGCCCTGATGAAGGTGTGGTGAACCCCGTGTATCCGCGGGCCGTTTAAATCTTGCGTAGTACTCCAAAGCATCATATGATGTGATGCGCAATTTACTGCAAGTCGGTCAAAGCATCATATGATGCGATGCGCAATTTAAGGGTTAATTTTCTTTTTTTTTTTAGTACTGTATCATGTGTCGAAATGTTTGCAACAGTAAATGTTGATGTACTCATTGTCATCATATTCATATGAATGCTCTCACTGTCATCAACATATTCATAAGAATGCTCTCACTGTCATCATCATATTCATATGAATGCTCTCACTGTCATCATCATATTCACACTGATGCTCTCATTGTCATCATCATATTAACATCTGAGTTAACAGAAACCAAAATATTCTAAGCAAACACAACTCCAACTTGGGTATTTTATAAATAAATATATAA